GAATGACTACCGGGAAAAATAATTAAGTGGTGAAAAGCTATAGGAAAATACCAATGTTCAGGACATAAAAGTCCCTTTATTGCAAGTTATATATAACACTGGTTATACAGAAGGCAAAAAGAGCCTATTGAATTGCTGTAATTAAATAATTTGAAAATCGAGGCAGCCAAATATTCAATATATATGACATGTTATTACAGGCTCATGTGTGTTTGCACGCATGTGCACACACATCTGGACATTGAACCCAAGGCCTTTTCATTGAGCCACATTTCCAGCCTTTTTTATTTTTAATTTTGAGACAGGGTCATGATAAGGTGCTAGTTGCCGAACTTGCAATCCTCCTGCCTCAGCCTCCCAGAGTGCTGGGATTACAGATGTGTATCACCTTGTTCTATGTTTTCGAAGTTTTTTTTTTCTTTTGATTTTGGTGTCAGGAAGGTAGGGCCTCACATATGCACACATTCTAAGCATGCACTGTACCACCGAACTACACCCCAGCCCTGTTTTAAAGTTTTAACGATTTTAACTGATGGTTTATGGACACCGAATATAACTTTACGCTTATCTAACCTACAGAGCAAAGCCTAAGGACCCTAAGACTTCCTGGAAATGTAGTGTTTAAAGGAGGCAGTTTCGAAGCTGGCCAGCCTGCTCCTGGCTTTCACTGCGTGATCTTGGGCAGATGCCTTAACCTGGCCAGAACCCCTTCATGTGTGAAATGAACAACATCCGATACCTCTGTCCCGGGTTATGTGAGACTTAGGGAGCCACTGCATAGAGAGTGTCAGGGGAGCACACCGCACAAGCTCGCTATCACTGCGCCACCCCCAGTGCTCCCCTTCGCCAGCCTGGGGCCTGCCTGCCCCTTCAGCCTTTGCCCCGTCACTTCTCCCAACCCCTGCTGCCTGGGCCAGCCCAGCTGGGCTGCTCCTTGCCCGCCATGTGACTCAGAGGTTCTCCGCCTGGGAAACTGCTCCTCCGAGTGACCACTTGGAGGGGATGTTGCAGAGGCGAACTCGAGCCACACAGGAAGCTGGCGCTGAGGTTCTACCAGATGGGTAGAGTGAACGGAAAGGAGCGGCCACACACTCACCGGGGGCCAGAGTGTTCTCGGCTCCTCTCGTTGCCCCCCCGTACCCCACTTCTCCTGTTCACGTTGCCTGGGCAGCCAGGAAGGCCCTTTGTCCACTGCCCAGGGACAAGAAGAGGGGCTGTGGGAGGGGACCCTGCAAGCCTAAGGCAGAGGTGGGCCATGCACAATGACAGAAACTGGATCAACACTAAGTCGCTTAAATTCCCGAGCCCCGGTTTCTTTAGCAGCAAATCCAGGAGATCAGTGCTCACTGCCTAGGATAAGAATTAATCAGATAATGTACAAAGGGCTTAACAGAGGGTACAAGATGTAGCAAGTGCACTGAATGTTCTGCTTCCCCTTTCTCCTTTTCTGCCCCAGTCACTAGGGGAACTTGGCTGTGCCTTTAAGGGATTTAGACTCCAGCTCTGTTTGTTGTAAGGGAGAGCAGAGGGAACAGATGGAGATCACGGGCTCCCAGGGGGCATGGGGTGCAAGCAGGTGGGACAGACGGCAGGAGGCCCCAAGGCCAGACAAAGGGACCTGGGCTTGAGAAAACAGAGTGGGGGACCCGCTGCTGTGCCGTTCCTTGTCTCTGTTCCTCCTCCTCTTCTCCTATTCCTCTGATAAACACTCAGCACAACATTAAATAGCTTCAAAAGCACAGGACTCATTTTTGTGAACTCAGACTGCAATGGCTGCTTCCCAACAACTGGAAAGCAATATGAGACAGTGTCCCCTGTCACCTTTTCCTGGTTCCATGGCATGGGGCACAAGCTTGGCGGTGGGGCCACCTTTCCACTCGGCTCTGACAGCACATTTTTCCCCGAAAGCTGAGGAAGGGAGGGCAGTTGTCATGTGGGCAATTGGCCCATCTGTCACTGGAGAGCCCTCAAGGCACAGCGCATCATGAGAGTGACCAAGCGCCTTTTGTAGGCCATTCGTGTGGCTCTCCACGTCTCTTTTTTTTAAATTGGTGGCTGCGTCCAGCACATGCTAACCCCCTTATAAATCCTAGCTCCCCAGAGGCAGGAATTATCCCTGGCATCTGGAACTACATTTAACACTAAGTGGACTGAACTGTGTGGAGTAGGAGGCGAGGTGATGAACACTGGGTTCCAGTACCTTCCTCGCTTAAGAAAGTCAACTGAGTTCCGTGCGACAACTGCTCAGTGATCAGGCATTATGCAAAGTTTCCTGCCCCTCACCTCTTTCTGCTGGTCCTCAATGCACAGAGCTGGGGGAAAGAAGGTAAAGACGGTTCTGTGTTCCTTAGCTCAGTGAGTACAGAATGGCACCAGCTGACTTCTTGCACCGATGGCCCTCTAAACCTCAGTGGCACCATATCTGTAGGTCTCATCCACAAGCCTCTGCTCATGCGGAGCAGTGGACAGGAAAGAACAAAGTTAGTGTAAAGCTCCTTTTCCTACGCCTGCTCTTAGAAGGCATCAGCCAAGAGGGTTTTTTTTTTTTTTTTTTTTTTTTTGGTACCAGGGATCAAACTCAGGACTTTGTGCTTGCGAGGCAGGCAGCGGAACCACTGTGCTAAAACTCCTGCCCAAAAGATCTCATTTTTATTGGTCAATCACCTGTGAAATAACATTTACCACTATGCAACATTATTAAAATTATGTAGAAATTATGCACAACAAAAATAAATTTCTCTTTAATTAATTCCAAACACTAAAACATTTATTGTCCTCTTGACTTGCCATTCTAACTAATAATAATAAAGGCAGTACATAGTGCTACTAATTGTCATACACTGTCCCAAGCACTTAATCCTCCCATAACTCTCTGGGGTGATTATTAAAGTTGACTCATTCTACAGATGAGAAAACTCAGGCACAGAAAGATTAATTAGGATGCACAGAGTCTCACAGCTTTTCATACTATTCTTTTTATTTGCATTTTTTTTTTACAACTCTGGAGCTTGAACCCAGGGCCTTTGCCCTGAGCTAAGTCCCTCGGTCTCCCAGACTGCTGGGATTCCAGGCTGCGCCGCCACACCTGGCTCCTGAGTTGATCTCAACTGTCTCACCCTTCCCTTGTCATCCCCCTGAGCAAGTGGAATTCCCCACAACCTGAAGGCCAGCCCGGGGACAGTGGGCTCTTGGCCTTTAGCAAGCTGCCGACCTGGCTCCCCTTCCCTCCGCACACCTCCCTCTTTCCATCTCCACCTCCTCTCAGTGGAAGGTACGAGCTGGAAAACTTCTCCAGATGTTTACCAATCTGCACTCCTCCATCTCCACGGGAGACCCGGCTTCGCTGAGGGCTAGAGGAGCAGCGAGAGGCTGGCAGCAACGTTCCTTTATCATCGGGAGCCACTGGGGAGGAAAGAAAGGATTTTTGACAGCAGTCGTGTGAGGGAAAATGGAGCTGCAGAGCCCACAGAAATACTGTCAATGTGACTGCAGTTGCAGCAGAACAGGCCAAAAAGTCACTCTGCCACTCTGCGAGATCTTTTCTGTGTTTCAGCCGTTCAGTGGACTCCCAGACCAGTCCACATAGGGCAGGGGTGGTCCCGGAAGGAGACATCCAGTTCCTGCCCCGCCAAAGGGTCCAGGGCCCCTTTGCGGGGGAGGGGAACAGGAAGGGAGCATTAGCTGGGGAACCAGAGGGTCACCTGTCCCTGTTCACCCCCACCCCTTTCCTCTCCAGGAAAAGGGAAGTCAAGTAGATGAAGAAATGGGGAAGTCCTCGCTGTGCTGTTCCCTTGGCATCAAAGGGTCTCTGTAACAGTTGACTCTGATCCCCAGCAAGACAAAAGTCTCCACCACAAAAATAATTAGCAAAGGCTTTCTGAAAAACATTTCCCTGGGACAGAGCAAAGGAGAAAGAATCTTGCGGAAACACAGCTTTGCATGTCTGAAATAATCACAAGGAGGCCTTTCTCTAAGCTCCTGCCTTTCACAGGCCGTTTGCAGGCGCAGGGCAGGGCACTTGCAGCAGCAAGTGGGTGACTGGTATCAGAGTCAGGTGCCATTTTGAAAACTGCTGCTCTCTACCGAAATCTTCCCCTATTTCCAGCTGCACTTCAGAAGCATCCTTGTGCTGAAGCAAAGCGTTCTCTTCAAAACGTACGGTTCAGTTTCTCAGCACAGTTTCAAGACATCAGAGCAAACGAGCTTTTAGTCTTTGGAAAGCAACATGGGCCTTCTCTGCAATCACTTTTATAATTTACGAAAATAAGGAAGAGGAAAGTAAAGAACTTCCTCATTGTCTGGCAGCAAGTCAATAGTAGAGCTTGAACTTGACTTACGTTTTTAGGGGGAGGCATTGTCCTCTATAAACCCCAAATTACCTTACACCCAGAATATTTTACAGTTATCTGACTTGAGTGCTGAAAATTAGAACAATGGAAAATGTGGATGCTACAGAGGTTAAACTTCTTTCTTCAAATCCCTTAAGGATGCTTTAGCTCCCACCCAAGTCAAGGGGACTACAAGCGGAGAAGACAAAGGGGGCCGCCCGCCGGGTGGGGCGAATGCTCCGCTCTGGCCCGAAAGCTGAGTCACGGGAATCGTACCCTTGGCAGCGGGTGAGGCCCTAGGGTGAGGGACACCGCGCCCTACCTAGCTTGGGGATGCCTGCAGCAGACAAAGCCAGATTCGCAGTAAAGGAATGCCTGTCCTCCTCAGTGCCACCCGGGCCCTTGGTTATCACGCACTGGTCCGCAAGAGCAGGTTTGGGCAGCTCTTGCCAGAATTCATTATAAGAAAATAAATATAAAAGGAGAAAATGCACTGCGAAGGAAGTGTTGGAGGATGGGCTTCTGCTCATTTTATTTTTCGGCCGTCGTGGTGGTGAAGGCGCCCTGTTGGGGGAGGGGGGCTCCCCTAACGCCCGCCGGTCTCCGGACGCCTTTCCGCAGACGCGGCGCGAAGGAGTTAAGCGGGACTGCGGGTGACATCATCTCATTTACATGGGAGCGCGCATATAGCGGCGCTCGCGCGCCCCGCCCGACACTCGGCGTTGGCCACTGAGCAGATCGGACTTCCCTCGTTCGCGCACCTCTCTCCGGTGAGCCCCAGGGGCCCTTTCTCCTGTCCCCTTCTAGCCAGGCACCTGCGCTCGCCCCCTGCAGCACCTGCGTCCCTATTCAGGAATCCCTAAAGCCATCCCAAGTGGTCCTACCTAGAAAGGTTGCTTTGAAAAGCTTAGGGATGCGTAAACCCTTCCAGATGCTGGGTAATGGGAGCCAGAACTCAATTTTTAAAACCGCAAAAACTGGCATTTTGCGGTGCAGCCTCAAGGGGACATTTTGGCCTTAGTTTTTCCCCAAAGATGTCTGCATTGCCTCTGAGGCTATGATGAATCAGAAACGAAGGATCCTTTGTTCTAACGCACAGTCACCGGAGCCTCGAGCTTCAAAACGGCCGTGAACGGATGGCTTAGAAGGCTGTATCTGGCTTGGTTTAGGGAGGCTGGGCGGTATCACTAAGTCTTAAAAGTCCTACTCGCAGAGGACTGTGCGCAAAGGCTTGGAGGTTGCCCCTGATGCAGATCGGGGTTGATGTCTGGGGCGTAGGCAGGCAGCTGTGTGTGCCGCGGGCTGCACTGTTGAGCTAGCTGGACTAGTAGGAACCGGGTAGGGCGGTGGTCCGAGGCGCCGGCTGCAGCTGCCGCCTTTGTGAGCCGAGGAGAAAACGGGATCCGGCCTGCGTCTTGGGAGGGAAGAGACCGTATCTAGAAAACGAAAACCCGTTTTGTGACCTTGGCTCCAATTTTTATTCGATTTCTCCCTCACACACACGCTTTAACTTGAAGGCGGCTTTGATATTCTGTCCTCGCTCTAGCCAGACTGTAATTTTTAAACGCTGCAATTAACCTGCAGTTGTCAATTTCACTGTATGAGGAGATTTCAGCCTTGAGCCATCCGCCCTCTGTACCCCCCCCTTGAAATATTGAAGGGGATCTCTGGCTTTTTGGGTTTTTTTTTCTCCCCCTCCTGGTAGCTCTTCAGCCCTGAATAGAAGAGGAAGAGGGAAGGCGGTGGGGTTTCGGGCTGGAACTTGGAGGGGAGACGCGCATTTCTGAGCGGGGAGAGGCCAGGGTGTGGGTGGCGCTTTCTCAACCTCGCTCTTGGCTTTGTACCTGCAGCTTACTCGCGACCATGTCTGACAAACCCGATATGGCTGAGATCGAGAAATTCGATAAGTCGAAATTGAAGAAGACAGAAACGCAAGAGAAAAATCCTCTGCCTTCGAAAGAAAGTAAGCTCTGATCCCCTCCCCCATTTTCAGAAAAGGCGGGGCGGGCGGGAGGACGGGAGGGGCGCGGGGAGGGGGGAGCGGGGGAGGAGCAGACAGTTTGATGATGATGAATGTGGTTTAGAAAGGTTAATTAAAAATTGTTTCGCAGCCAGCAAACACATGGTCTTAGTGATTTAATAATGGAATATTTAATGTCATAGTAATATACAGATACATTTATCTATTGAAGTACTTTGATTTAACAGTTAAATTATATATTTGATTATAATTGCCTGTTTGCTGAATTTTTAGGCACGAAAAGCCATTTTAAATGTAAGCACTGTAATCTTTATAATCTTCTGGATCCTCTTAACCTCCATCTTTTTTCTTCTTTTTTTGTCTTTTTCCGGTCACAGCGATTGAACAAGAGAAGCAAGCAGGCGAATCGTAATGAGACGTGCGCTGCCAGTATGCACTGTACATTCCACAAGCATTGCCTTCTTATTTTACTTCTTTTAGCTGTTTAACTTTGTAAGATGCAAAGAGGTTGGATCGAGTTTAAATGACTGTGCTGCCCCTTTCACGTCCAAGAACTACTGACAACGAAGGCCGAGCCTGCCTCTCCCATCTGCCTGTGTGGCTGGCAGGGAAGGAAAAGAGCTTGCATGTTGGTGAAGGAAGAAGCTGGGTGGGAGGATGGTGAAATGTAGAGTAAAATCCAAGCTGGTCCAAGGTGTCCTGCAGGCTGTAAAATGCAGTTTAATCAGAGTGCCATTTTTTTTTGTTCAAATGATTTTAATTATTGGAATGCACAATTTTTTTAATATGCAAATAAAGTTTTAAAACGCGACTGATGTGTCTGTCTGGTGTCTGGAAGGAGCGGTTTGATCGTGGGTGAAACTTTTGCAAAGGGACCTACTCCTTGGTCTCACTGGGTCTGAGAAGTGACAAACATCTCTGGTGATTTGGTAAATTTCCGGGGCATAGAGAGATGGGTTTCTGTCACTACCTGATATATCTCAGCTATACTTTACTAGGTAATTGGGAGATCATTTACTTAGGCTGGTAGAATTCCTACTATGAATTACATAAAAGCTTTAATAAAAACAGATTTACAGAGGCTGGTACAATGGTCATAGTGGTCCCCGTTACTTGGGAGGCTGAGGTGGGAAGATTGTGTGAGCCCAGGAGTTCCAGGCCAGCAGGGGCAACATACATTTGCAGTCAATTCTCTGGGTTTTGATAGCCGACACTGAATTTCTCACACATGTGCAAGAATATTGAAGGTGAATATTTACAGCACATCTTCCATGGGGTATCAAGATGAACTTGGTTGCTGCACCAGTTACCAGCGTTGGACAGAGAATTTAGACAGCCTAGTCAGAGTAGACATTTTAGTAGACATTGAGTAGAAATGACATTTTATGTACTTCAAAAAGGAATTCAAGACTTAGGTTTCCTCATTGTCCAATGGCTGTTTTCTCATTAGAATTCTGTTTAACAGCCACTTAAAATGGCTTTTTTTTTTTTTTGGTACAGGGGATCAAATTCAGGTTCTTGTGCTTGCAAAGCAGGTGGCAGAACCACTGAGCTAAATCCTCAGCCTAAAATGGCTTTTATAAAATGGTACACACATCTATTAACAAGTGATATTAAGTTATTGAATTCTCTTTAATTTGGATGACTAATGTTTAGATATGAAGGACACAGCAGAACAGGTGAAATGTTTAAGTCTGGTAGACATTAATTGGTTACTGAGGTGAGGTCTCGTTTTGCTTTCTCAAGTCCTCAAGTGGTGGAGGAAAGCAAGGCCAGGCCATAAGGTGCAGGAAGAGAAGGGAATATAGTGTCAATACTTTAAGGGTAAAAGTTAATGTTCTTAAAGCTCCTTAATGAGTTGCTCTCTTCTGTAAGGGTAAAAAATAAAAAGCCTCAATTTTATTAAGCTAAAACAATGCTATTTAAAACAGTAAATCCAATAGCAAAGCTAAAATGTACCATGCAAATGTTCAAAAAGGTAAACTTTTTCCCCTAAAAAACTGACTTATGAAAATATCATTTGTAAAGGGGAGGAGGAGGAGAAATTGTTAATCATTACTAAACCGGTTGATTTCCTTTGCTCAACCCTTCTTTTGAGAAATGCACAGGAAACCATGTACCTGTGGTTTAGAAGATCAAGTAGGCCAACAGCTAGAAGCCTTTATCTGCACTGCTAAGGGAGGGGTCCATGACAGGTGCTGCAAACCTGAAGGACCCCACCTGCTGCGCAGCTAGGGAAGACAAAAGTAAGCACAAAGGATTGGGGGGCACTTCAAGATGAGACAGGACCCCCACCCTTGCAGTTGTTTTTCTTACCTCCAAAGCAGGGTAGAGGCCCAGTGAAAATGCCCAAGTGGCAAAGGTAAACCAGACCCATGGAGGTTTTTGCTGTGCACATTTTTTCAAACAACGCAAAGATGGAAGATTTTAAGAAATTCACACAATGCTAGTATTCTTCGGTTTTAAAAGGTGGCATTAAGGGGAGCTGGAGATTTAGCTCAGTGGCACCATGCCTGCTTTGCAAGTGCAAGGTCCTGAGTTTGATCCCTGATACAAAACAAACAAACAAACAAACAAACAAACAAAAAGGTGTATTAAGGGAAAAGATGATTATGAGATAAAGCGATGGAAGAGAAGATCTTTCTGTCCTCACAGGACAAAGCACTCTCACATGGGCACGTGCGCACACGCACACACACACACATGGAAAATCTGAAATGTAGTAATAATTGCATTCTTCACAGTTTGGTGTCAGAGACAGGGAAATTCAGAAGCTTCTTTCTACATCCAGGAGCTAACTGCTGTGCACGATAGGAGAGGAAACTTTGTTGTTATTGTTGTTCAATTTGATGGGGATTCTTTGCTCTTCCCAAGAGAATCTTCCCAGAAGTGCCTGGGGTATTTATGAAGCAGCGTGGGAATTCGTGATCCTGCTATGAATCGAAGCTGCTTGGTGCTATGTGTTGACAGTATTTTTCATAGATAGGAAGGGAACTTTAAGTCTATCATTAGAACAAGAAAGATTCCACTGGAGACCCTTGCTGCCGAGTGTTTGACCCCATCTCCTCCTTTGCAGGGGGAAGCAAGCCAAAGAAGTGTTAAATAAAAGGTGATGGTCACAGTTTTGCCTGGAACTTCTGCAAAGTTTGAGTTCATCAAGACAAATACAATAAAAAGCAGAGAAAGTAGCAAGAGGCTCACTAAAAGACCACGGAGTCAGACCTGTGTTTATTTTTAAATCTCAGAAATTTCTCAAGCATTACAGCTTCATATTTCACTCATCCCTATGTGTGGAATTTTGAAGCTATTTTATTCTTTCAGGAGAAGACAGCTTTTAGGCAGCATGTGCAGAAACTGGGGGG